AACTATGCAAACAGCAGACGGTATGAGTGCCTTAGTGAAATATGATAATATCAAAGATTGATAATATCTTTATACAATTTTACAATAGTTTTTGCACAGAAGTTAGTGTCTTACCTTAACAATTTCCTTTGAATAAATCCGATGCAAATAGTAAAAGCATTAAAATAGATTGGGGTAAGTAATCTTGTATACCAAGAATGAAAAAAATATAAATAGCAATTGGAAAAAAGGAAGAAAATGATAGTGATACATGTATATCAATTTTTAAAGAATCAAAATATTACATTATATCGTTTTAAGATAGTAGGTTTAATCCCCCATTTTCTACATAAGAAAATGCCCGTACCAAGTCAGGAATATGACAGTTGTTATCCATTAGTTTGATGTTATTGAGCTTTTGATTTTGCCATTTGATAAGGGACTTTTCTTTTAGAATTTTCCTCGGAGTTCAATATTTTTGTGATTTTACTTTTTAATTGAAAGAGTAAGTAGAGATCACAATATTCGAATTGTATTTTACTCTTTAGTAAATTATTTGCTTTATAAACAAAGAATGATCATATTGGTTACTTACGTATATCATTGTAAATACGACTTTAATTTGTTGCATTTTACGAAAATATCAATTTTGACAACAATAGATATCATTTTAAACGTTTATTTCAGAAATACAAATAAATGACAAGAAAGTGGACATATATGTTAACACAGAACTAAAACCAGCAAGGAAAATCTAATTCATGAAGTTTCCTGATTATTTATTTTCCAACTTACAAAAATGTATAGAGATCAGAACAACTAGAAACAGTATAGTGGTAAACAGCACTTCATTGACATAAAATACAAAAACAGCTGAATATTGAAAGCACTTCAAAGGCAATAGAACAAAACAAAAACTATCTCATGTTGAATAATGAACAAATAAGTTCCATTATATTCAACAGATTAGCTTACATATGTTTTTAAATATTTAGAATTTTCATCGCCATGGCTAAAAAAGAAAAAAAGACAAACAGGAAAAAAAAAACAGTACACAAAACACAACATAGAAAACCAAAGACTGAGCAACACGAACCCCACCAAAAACTGTGGGGAATATCAGGTGCTCCGGAAGGGTGAACAGATCCTGCTCCAAACCCGTGGTATTACTCATGTAAATGCAAACCCAGTGATAAGTCAGATTCGGTAGGTCACATTCGGGAAAAAGGGGACGGGATTGTAGTTACGACAATTGGAACATATCCGTTGTCATCTGTGAAACGGATATTCCATAACGGTCAACCAACTCGTGATGGCGTCCGTAAAATTTACGAAGTGACGATTTTAACTTCACCACTTGGAACTCTTTGTTTAATAGCTTCCTTTTGAGCAGCAACGCCTTTATCACGGTAATCATGATAGGAAATACAAGCCCTGAAATATCTTATCAACAAGGAGATATATACTCCGTATGCAGGCGCTGCTGGAATGTTGCTACACAGAAATGGAAAGTTCACAATTTGGAGGCTGAAATCAGCTTTGTCGTAAAGTTTTGTTTTCAACCGACCATCATTGTAAATTTCTAGATGTAAGTCAAGATTTGGGGCAGACTTAACTGTATCTGTTGTATCCTTCATCTCAAGTTCGATGGAATAGATGCGTTCAATATAGTCACCAAATTCTGAATTATTTAGTGAGAGAAAATCATCTTTATAGCGGAAAGTGAATTAAAGGATACTGCTAACTTCTTTTCTTTCTTCCTATGAAGTTCCTGTATGAAGTCAGCCTCATATGAATAAAGGAACAAGTCGGCAAGAAGAGGAGCACAGTTTGTCTCCATGGGAATGTCGCTTGCTTTTTGAAAAACATGTCCTCCAAACGTAACAAATATGTTGTCAATCGAGAAATCAAGCATCTTGATAATGTCAGTTTCAGAAAAAAAAATTGTTTGAATCAGAGTGATTTTACAGCGTTCGATTTATCCCTCCTTAAACAAGAAACTTGTATTTATGTAGGCAATTCTTTTTTATAAAACAAAGCAGGACCAACTCTTTCAATTTGTCTTTTAGTTTGGAATGGGGAATACTTGTGTTAAGTGTAGAAAAGTCAAATGTTTTAATACTATTGCAAGATGAAAAATTCTTAGATTGTATGTACCATAAAGGACTTTTTTAGTATCCACATCTGATTCACGCCACCTCTAGAATGTGTAGTTTTGTTATACATGTAGCAATATAATTATTGTATTGTATTGGCGTTTGAAGTTTTAAAAAGAAAACAGCACTTTATAATTTTCATGCGTCTGAAGCGCTTTTCTAGATTTACCTTCTTCAGGACCAGTCAAAGCTGTATATTTAAAAGCCAAGAACAAATAAGAGCCGAAACAGTTGAAGAGCTGTATGACAAAACAAAAGTCTTAAAATTAATAGCCAAATCCATCTAAAGTCAACGTTGTTTGAGGGAGTTGAAATTTTTAGATTCTTTCCAATTGTTTATAATGATTTTGAATCGGTACCAAAACAAAGATACCGGTTTGATTATAATCGAGACAATATTTTTAACTGAAAGGAGAAGTTATGATGAAGCCACTTTTGTCTTCTCATTGAATTGGAAAATGAAAAAGTATTATAAATCTACAAATCTACAAAAAAAAAGGAAAATCACCCTTTAGACGTCATTAGACATGAGTCTGTCGGATATTAGTATTTACATGTTTTACTTTTTTTTCTTACACATTAGCATTATGGCTTAAAACGTCTTGTCTTCAGTGTAAAATTGCCAAAATAGCATAATTTTAAGGTCTTATCATAAAAGGCATTATTATTTAGATATGGACCAACCCTTTACTATAAAAAATAATTGATGATTATTTTACAACGATGTTTATATAATTATTTCTGTTATATATATGTTTGGATCATGCCTTTGCTCATATCAATAGTATCCGACACTTTACATAGATAGGCACGTGTTGGTCAAATACGCCAAAGTGCTTAATGATAGCACAAATAATCTTTCTGCAATAAAGTTCTAGATTAAATCAACCAGGTCATTTATCAATAAAATTGCCATTATTTTACAGATCACACCCCTGTTTCTTTCGTCACATTCACCATTTCACTCACCTCTGTAGTCATTGAATCTGTACTAACATGATATATACTTAACTTATTAAAAATTCCCCGTAAACAAAAGTAAAAAATTATAAAGAAACTAAGGTCTCAACTCCCTCAGGTAAAGTTGACCTTTGATGAATTTGGCTATTCTGTTTTTGGTCCTTCTTGGTGATATACATATAGCTCCTAACGTTGCATCTTAGTTACCCGTCTTTGGCTTTCAAATATTTAGGTTTGAGCGTTCCTGATAAAGATTGATCCAGAAAATCGCTTCGGACGAACGCAATTTATCGTGGGGTTCGTGTTGCTTATTCTTTAGTTTTCTATGTTGTGTCATCTGTACTATTATTTGTCTGTTTGTCTTTTTATTTTTGGCCATGGCGTTGTCAGTTTGTTTTCGATCTATGAGTTTGACTGTCCCTCTGGTATCTTTCGTCCCTCTTTTATCAAGTTTTAATTTTTCTTTAACGATAAAAATATTGTTTTAATTTTTAATCAAAAATATAAAAAAAAAGTCGCCAGGCCTCCTTCTAACCTGGGACAGTGGTGTAACGGCACAACACAAGAACAAACTATGCGAAACATTAAACGACAAACAAATATAAGATACAACGAAAACGACAACCAATGAATTACAGGCTCCTGAATTTGGACAAGCACATATAGAACAAGGAAACTGCAACATATTCCTATCACGAAACATTCAAGATGGATTGTATTTAATAGTTTATCAATTTTCCCTTATACATTTTTCGTTCCTTTCTATGTTATAAGTCCTTATTTAGACATTTGACACCTGGATTCATTTAAAAAAAAAACAAAGTGTATTGTTTATCAGTTTCCTTTTTTGTAATATTTTGACTGTTTTTTGCATTCGTAGACTTTATTATAGCCGATATTGCTTCAGAAGCAACCATTTCCATTCCGTTTCTAGATGAATGCTGCATGACGGAAATTACATATATATATTTGTGTTTCGAATGCCAAGTTTGAAGCAGTCTCTTGCTTGGAAGATTTACGTACCCTGATCTCGCATCGGTCCCGTTTTCGGATATTTCGTCTTATAACCGAATGTTTGCCTACACTGAGAAACACAAAATAAGTCACGGGTGTCATAGAAACTGGCTCCCTTTCTGGAACACCTACAATCTCAACTGATTTTGATATGGTTTGTGTTGATCAAGCTTTCGTATTCCGTGTATTTCTTTTTTGGCACAATTTATATTTTTCTTATAATTATATTGTTGACTGCCTTTCTTTCTGGGTTTGTTGTTACCTCCTCTGTATCCTCTTACCACAGTACCGTACATTGATACTGTATATGATCCAATATATAATGTAAATGTCTTGTATTATAATGTCTTGTTCAGAGTCGATGCAATTAGGTATTTGAAGATGAAATGACTTTTCTATAGAAAAGTATCCCATAAATATTTTTTTTTTCGTTTATTGTTTTGCATTGTTTGTACTTATGTATGTGCCTTTTCCAAATCAGGAGCCTGTAATTCAGTAGTAACCGTTTGTTGCTGAATATCATATTTGTTTTTGTTTATGTTTTGTACATAAATAGTTGTTAACTTCTGGATCATTTGATCTCTGGTTGAGAGTTGTCTCATTGGCAATCATATCACATCTTTTTTAATTTTATATTACAAAATTGCATGTTTTAGTTCATTAAACATCTGAGAACGGGTTCGGGTATTATTATTTTCGAGACTGCAAAAACGTGTCATGAATCAAATCTTATACCTTAAATATGAATTCCTCTCATGAATAACCCAATCATTTTGATAAAATAGTATCTCATGCGATTTATTTAAAATCAGTGATCAATTAGTATAAACATTTGTTCAATAATTATATAATTCAATACATATATGTACATGTCGTTAATGGTGATGACAACCGGGTTTACAGCTAGTTTGTACAGTGACTTCAATTCCATAATGATCTGATAAAGGGTACGATTTTCCATGTATTGCTTTGTCCATTACTCTCTGTAGTAGAAATAAAAACAGATTTTACATCACTCACTGCATTAACTATGAGAAATAGCTGCATCTTTTATTTGCATTACCGGAATGTTTGAAATAAACAAGGTAAAAAAAGGTATTCGATGATCTCTATATCTTTGAGTTATCTATATAATATCTTGATATATGACAAGGTTTCCTGCATTTATATGTTGTTTGTGATGTTTAATGGAAATATCTTTGTGAAAAAATAACCTACAAATAGTGATTCATTTTGAAAGCATTAGTGTATCATTTGAATATATACAAAACAATTCGTGAGGTCTTTCGAAAACACTTATATTCAGATTTCCTGTAGAAAATAAATCAATATAATACAAAATATAATATTAAATCAATTACAAATATTAATTTTTGCGCCCAAACAGTTCTATGTAGCATCACTTCAGTTTCCTATCGTCAGAAAATAAAAACTAAACTAAACGCAGCTTGTGTTAAGTCTTCGTGTTTCTATTTTCTCTAGAGCGTCAATGCAAGGCAAAAATGCAGAAATGCAGTTAAAGTATGCGTATCGTAACTATGTACACGAAATGCATGCAGCTACTATCAATATATATAAATGAAATGAAATTAAATCGCTGTATATAGCATAAATAGACCTAAGATATTAGATCGCTAAGCAAAATATGTTGCGTGTGCTCTAATCAATCAAATGTTCTGAGTCCTTCAAATCGCTGCGACAATTGGTGCGAACAGATATTTCTGCTCCGTAGTGGTCAGACAATGGGAACTTCTTTTCTGGCAAAAGCTGGTCAATTACTCTCTGTAATAGTAAGGAAATAATCATTATTGTGAACATCGAAAAGGGGTCAGAGAAATGCACGAAAATATAACGAAGTCAAAGGTAAACCATATTACGGGTGACCTCGGAAAAATATTCAGATACGCTTAAAAGTCAAAACAAAATATGAAGAAAAGACATAAAACAAACCTTTTCCTACAAATGCATGCACATCAGTTTTTCGTTTAGAACAACAGATTGTTGACGGGATAACCACTAGAAATACAACACCAAAAGAAGTTGGTTTGCAAGACAACTTTCTCGTTTCCAAAGACATGAAATAAAGTGGAAAAATATTGATTTGGAAGTAGAGAAGGGTTATATTGTGCTGAACCAATGCAACACCAGGATTGCAAATTGTTCTACAAACACTGCAATGTGTTAGACGTCGTTTCGGCAACACACAACTCATCAATGGCGTTCGATATCTGATAGAACCTAGTCCCAAAACTATTGAAAGTTTTGCAAATGAAATAATGTAGTTATCGAAAACCATATCCGTCCAGCAAAGTTATGTAAGAAATTAGGAGAATGGTACATACAAAAAACACACTTCTAAAGACAATCAACTTAGACAGCAGTAGTTTACCGATGATAAAATCTAAAAAATGAATTGAAAGATACAAATCAAGGTAACAAACAAAAAATGAGGAAATCCCTTGAACTCTAAAAAGAGTGAAACCGAGTGGGTCGGCAGAAAATATGCATGTAAACTGTAATTTCGTTTCAACCAGCTCTACGAGATTTCATATGACTTGTGATAAGAGCTACACATACGCATAGGTCAATAGGTTGAAGTAGCCGAAAACATGCACACAGATAGAGCGTTACTTAAAGATAGATGATAGAGTATTTGTAGAGGACGAATGTTCCTTAATTAATGACAAACTGAGTTTCAGGAATGGGTCAATATGATTTGATGTGTCTGAATATCTGTTTAAATGTATGATTTTAATAAGCTCGATAGTGCTTTTGATGTTGAAGTACTTTTTCAAAAGCGCTTTGGTAATGCTTAAATTATTACCATGTACTATCAAAAAACTTTTTTTTTCAAAAATTACTATGAAGTCAGTACTTAACCGATGTTTTTTTTTTTTTTCTTTAAAAATTATGTATTGGGTGCTCTTTCTTTTGACAATATAAATAAGATAATAGGTGTTATGTTTCAAATTACGAATATATTTTGTAGAACAACATGATGTCAGAAAATAAAGTGTAGCGAAATTTTAAAAAATAATTACTTAAAATCAAGGAAATCCATATATAAAATAAAAATGACTAAATTCTGCTTCTGAAAAGTGAACTATTAACACTATTAACAAAAAGCAGTGGAAATACTTTGCAAACTGATTAAAGTTATTTTTACATTTGGTTCTGTGAGATAACGACATCGATATATATAAATAATAAGCAACGCACAGTACTATACTACCCAGCCTGCCAAAAACAAATATTAGTATATATTATCTGTTTTCAATAACTTATAGTATTTTTCTATTCCAAAAAAAATATATTTCGCCTATCATCATAATTTATAATACCTTAGCTCCTAAAATTTTATATCCACGGGTGAGAATGTGGTCTATAATGCTGATATCGTGTCCATCTGTCAATGTGTTTTCATGTGGTGAATACGTAGGCTTTCCAACCAGCTCTGCGTAGGGAGAACGTAGATTGCCCTTCATAAACTGTTCAAAAGATGCTGAAATTTTAATTATGTCTTATTGAAAACTGTGTTGAATTAATAAATTGAAATACAAGTGAATGTTTGAGGATTTTTTACCAACTACTCAAATAATGAGTAATTTAACTTGGAGTGAAATCTCAAGTTACTTGTGTGTTTATACAGTTTCCAACTAGATTAGTAACATAGATTAGTAACATTTCTCAAAACTCTTCTTAAACTGTGAGCAATTCAATTTTGGATTGTAAAAGGATTGCCAATATTTACTTAAACCGAATATTTATATTTAGAGACTGGCTGGGAACCCCTACACAATAGGAGGTACAGAAGAAAACTCCAATTATTTTATAAGATATACAATGGTCCGGATCTACAATATCTATGTGATTTAATTTCCCCAACTATACAAAGTACAACTGTTTACCCACTGCGTAATGGGAATGACTTAATAGCCCCCTTTTGTAGACTCGCCTTAATAAATTCTGCATTTATTCCCTCCTCCATCACAGAATGGAACAAACTTGATAATTTTATCCGTTCACTTGATACACTATCTAAATTCAAACGCTCTTTGTTGAATAATGCATACGAAGCAAAGACTGTACTTAAGCATTTCATGTATGGTCCGCGGAAATTGAGTGTCATTTTAACACAGCTGCGATGTTCAGTCTCATTTCTAAATAACGACATATAATACAGAGTCCATATTGTGCCTGTGGCGCTCCGCGTGAGGATTTCATTTCATTTCTTCTTTAATTGCAATAAATACATCGATATAAGGAACGATCTATTAATCAACATTCATCGTTTTCAAGTGACAACAAATCTAGAGTTGCTTACTGAGGGTAGCAAAACTTTAACATACGAGGAAAACTGTGAAATCTTTAAAGTAGTCTTTAAATTTATAAAAAGAATCAAAAAGATTCCTCGTAGTATAATCAAATAAGATATGAATAATCAAAATCACCGTGTCCACAGAATTTCATTTATTTATTTCTTTTTAATTTTTTCTTATTTGATTTAATTTAATCCAATTTAATTTATTTATTTATTTATTTATTTATTTATTTATTTATTTATTTATTTATTTATTTATTTATTTTTATTTATTTATTTATTTATTTATTTATTTATTTTATTTATTTATTTATTTATTTATTTTTTCTCAATTCTCTATTCTTTTTCTTGTAAATTGTGTTAGGCTTTTTTTCCAGACTGCAAATGCCCAATTTTGATAATTACATTTAAGATAGATCTACTGAACTGTCCATGATCTGTATAATTGTTTTTGTAATATGATGTAAAGGAGAAGACTTCATAAGTTGGTTAAACTTGTGTCCGATCCTATTTGTATCTTTGAGCAAATAAAATCGTTATAAACTAAACGTTGGAGTGAAATCCAAAGTTAATTGTGTTGATTTAACTGAGATCTATTTATGCGCGTTACACATGCATGAGATCCTGTTTGAAGTTGAAAAAAAAACCTACACAACTATTATTTCTTTTCACAATAATGCATAACAAAAAGAAATTAATATGCATTAGATATTAGAAAAATGTACAAAAATAAATAAAATAACATTCCTCGAAATTTCTTAAAATGATCTTAGCAAATTACAGTCAAACGAATGAAAAATCTCAAGCTGGAAGTTATTCCGCTAATTTTACGCCTCAAAATCGGATAGTACTTCATTAAAACGGATCTTTTGTGGTAGGCGTTTTTATAATCTATTGCAGTAATCTTACATTTTTGGATATCAACAAGTCAGTATGGCGACTAACTCCTTAGCTACGACATGTCAATTATTGATTTTACGATTAATAGTAGCCAATGAAAAAAAAATAATGATTAGAAATTACAAATATGTGGGTTAAGAATTGTAAGGATTATTGTTTAAATGTTATTGATGTATAAACTGGGCCTCTGATTCACAAACGTTACACACAAGTACTTTATACTGTTTACATCCCAGCTCCTTTGTTCTACCAGGGGTGATCTGAGCCGGATCATCCCTACCATATCACCCTAGCTTGAATTTCTTTGTTCTGCATGCTTTCCTTTGTTCTGTAACATTTTGGCGGGAATGTCAAATCCACAATAAAACTTAGAAATATTTATACGGAAAAGACTATCTATTAAAATTGATGTAGAAAAAAATCCAGTGTCTAAATTGGGAATCGAACTCAAGAGCTTTAGCATATAGACCCACGATTCATACCCCTACACCAGGACGACTCGATACAAAATCGTAGGTAATTTAACATATTTTAACATTGTGTCCGGGGCTCATAAAGGGTATATGCTATATAGTAATATATAAAATATATCATAATGATTGTGTGGCGTTCTAAACTAGATTTTATGAAGCGTAAATGATTTTTTATCTGATCTACAACAGCTGGGATGTAAAATAGTTATTCAGTTTGTTTGTTAATCGCACCAGTTCACACATCAAAAACCTCTGGAAAAAAACGTTTTTAATCCTTTGATGTTTAGTTTTACAGTAACTGATATCACAAATTTGAGGTCAGTCTACGTTATAGGTTGACATATTGTTTTGAAAACTGTAAACACAACATTTTCCTTTATTCATGTATGAATATAATACCAGAGGAATATAACTGTTGATATACAATTAGTAATATGACGCGTGCTATAAAAGTACAACAAATAGTTCTACATTTTACTCTCTATCGGTACTTTGTTGTCATTCTTATAAAGTTGCTTCTGGTTAGAATGTTGCACACGCTTCCCGGCAGTGCATATGTAGTACGTGTACCTCTCACACATTGTACATTAAATCCAATGTTGTGTGTTATTTTTTATTTCATTTGTGAGCTTCATTGCAACGAACTTTGTTTATACTTGTATCAACCAGTTTGATGACGTCATTCACACACGAAGTAGTTCTGTTGGTGTTGATGAAATATGTGATCCTGACATAATCTTTACAGTATTTTATAGTAATTAATAGGGCATGCCATTAATAGCAATAACGGTTATTTTTACGGAGTTAAAAGGTGGGAAAACACGGACTTTACATTATTCAGTTTCTTGACCGAGTTAGCATATCAATAAACAACTTTAAAAATAACCTTAATTACTATATAGTAAGCCTATAATATTAAAAAAAGAACCGGATGGCAAAACCCTCGGGAGGTCCACTTCAATGCTTAATTGATAATGGGTGCCGCTGGGGTCTGGTACCCCACTCTTTTCATATAATTTAGAATTTAAAAATGTATATTTTTTCATGTATTGCGTAGGTAGAAATGTAACCTTTTTTCTATATTGGTTGGGTTTCTGCTCCGTATGTGGCTCAGATTCCTTATATAATGCTTACTTACGGCGAGACTTTCGGCTGTGAAAAAAATTACAGGGCTTTTCATATGACACGTAATGGGAACTTTATTGTCCTTATCATATATTTCTGCTAGTTTTCCCTACTTATTTACATAATGTGACCTATTCCAGCGGCACGTCCTATCAACTTGTATATATTTCCTTATAAAAGCGAGTTATATATACTGGTTTACTTTTACAAATTGTGACTTGGATGGAGAGTTGTCTCATTGGCACTCATACCACATCTTCTTATATATATCTATATATATCCACGTACCTGATGTCACATAGTGTATATGCCTAATTGATATAGATGGTCCAGAATTCATGTCACCCATCAATACTATGTCTTTTTCATTTCGTATGCGTCGTAATAATGATATCGTTTCAAATAGGTTCTCTGTTTCTCCATCAGCAAAGAAGGATGATTGGAACGCTGTAAAATAGTGGCAAAAGGAATATTTTAACTCATTATTATGCAATTTTATAGTTTTTGAACTTTCATATGACTTTTGTGTGTATAATAAAAGTTAATAATAAAATTTTGAACGTCAATATTGATTGCTGAGTCCTGAATATTTTACAAAATCATAAGCCTGATATATATATTTTTATGAGTTTGGTTTTTTTTTATTGTTAAATCTATTCACTACGTATCTAAACTCAGTGCGGATTCAAACTTAACACAGTATGTGGACACTCTAGTGTTGAAGAACGTGTGTTGACCTCAAGGTGATCTTTGTTTTTTTTTGTGTTGTTAAGTTACTGTTTCTGAAGGAAGATCTGGAATGAATTTACAGGAGAGATAAAAATAAAGCAAAACCAACAATAGAGAAAAGTGGATAAACAAATAAAGAATAGAGAATAATGGGCCGGGGAACAAAATTCAAAAAAATGTATAATGATCAGCAAAAAATCAATAACAGTGAGAAATAGGCTAAAAATTAAAGAATCGAAAATAATTGGGTGCAATTTATTAAAAAAAAAAAAAAAGAGAGAGAGAAAAATGGGCCAAAAATAAAACAATGAATACAGCATTGCAGACCCCATACAAAAAAAACTAGGATATGGCAAACATCAACATTTCTATGCAAGCTCTTACATGTAGATGCATGTAATTATAGTACTGGAGTCGACCAAAAGACATATGTATATCTTCCATTTGTCTGAGAAAGTCTATCCTTTGGTTGCACTTGTAATCATCTCTCATATGGTGAAAGCTACATTAATCACAATCCACTTTGAATAAATATAACTCAATAATTTTCGATTTTTTTTTCATCTTACAAATGTTTTCTTATGAATAATTGAACAGGGTTTTCTCATTATAAAACGAATTAAAGTTTACCTTGTGCGATGGTATCATTAGCCGGTGTTAGATGAGTACACATTATTTCTCCTAATTCTTGTACCTACAAAAATAACTGTTGTGTGTAACGTCTCTTGAACAGTACATATTTCATACTTGTACGAATTTTCAATTTATAAAGTAAACCAACAAGTAACCTTTGATGCTTTCAAATACTTGAAGCACTGAGTTTGACGCATATCGAACGTAACACAAACAAACCGCAAATACAGTCCGAAAGACCTTATTTTGATAAGAGGTAGTTGCGTATTTATACAAGCTGTATGATTACCAAATGGAGCTGTTTGCAGACCAAATGAAGTAAACAAGCATCAAGTAATAGATAAGTCAGACTATTATATGTAGGCTAAGGTGAATGTGCTTCCTTGATAGTATTGTAATATCCATTTTAAGTGTTTATGGAAAAATAATACATACATGTATAAACCACTACTAGTATTTGATATAGGAATACAGTTAGGTACTTATCTAAGAAAAAAACACATACAAAAATACGAAGATCTTGTGGACGAGACAAATAAACCAAAACAAAAACATTTAAAAAAAAAACACAGACACACACACTAGAATAATTACAAATAAATAAATATTCATTGAAGCAATACGTACTTTCTTGACATCATCTAAGAAAATGTTATCTTTCTAATATTCAATTATACATAATCAAGAATCGGAAATAGAACACGTACCCTCGCTGTTATGAATTCCTTTCTGAAGAATGGCCTAACTCCATGAATAAATGGTGTCCGTTTAGGACTCCATAGTTTGCGTCTACTTAACACTAATAATCCTGGAATGTTCATCTGAAGTGCTTGAGGTCCTAAGCAGTGGTTAGAAATATTCTCTGGACCACTTACTAAGATGCAAGTTATACAAAAATCAGACAACTCAAGCATTTTGCATTGCTTGAGTGCACACTCTAAAACTCCCAGCAATGGTCGACCAGTTGGATTACATTTCTGACTAAAACATGTTAAAAACTGCATGCTTTTAGTTCCTTGACAAGGAGCTTTCTGCATCATACTATAGTTTAGTCTACCATGACTGTCATGGAGAGAACTATATGAGTATGGGTAAGTAAACATCAATCTATGCACTGTTTCTTTAACATCCTTCCCATAAAAGACCTACAAATATAAAACTTTAATATATGAAATTAAATTAATAAAAAATTATAACTAACAATTTTAAATATTCCTCCCATAAAAACCAACAATCATTAAATTTTGATTATATAAATTTCATATTATTTTATCAAACAATCGAATAAATAAAAGAAATAATGTGTAACGTATAATTAAAGATGACTGATGAATGTAAATACAAAAATGATCTTCGGACGCACGGAATTTATAATGTTTTATTGTCATTCAATTCCTTTACCCTCAGATTTTGGTAGGGTTCGTGTTGCTTAATCTTTAGTTTTTCTATTTAGTTTTTTGTGGAATGTTTGTCTTTTCTTTGTTTTTTGCTTTTTTTTGACGATGGCGTTGACAGCTTTTCTTCGACTTATAAGTTTTGAATGTCTCCTTGGTACCTTCTGTTTTTTTTTTTTTATTATTATTTAAGTTGATGAACGGCTGGTAACGCTTTCCATCTGCTTTAGAAGTATTTATCCTATTGTACAAATAAAGTCTCCGGTAATGGGCATATTTTTTTTAGTGTGGTAGTTCATTTTGGGGTCCTCTTCCGAGCCTGCGATTAAACTATGGCGATTTCTTTGAAGAAAAAAAAACAGAGACAACTAATTGAATTTAAACAACTAAACCTTCTAAAGTGCCGGGTGTAAATTGCGGGATAAAAACATTATATGTACATTGTCGAAAATATCAAATGTATTTGTACTCGCTACGAAACAGGAGAAAAGCTCGGCGAGCCTCGCTTTTCGTCCTGTTTCTAAAGCTCGTACAAATATTTTTTTATCCTGCAATCAGCCAACTATTGTACAAATAACAGGTTCACAAAAAAAGTTTGCTTTTATTGTACTTGTACAAATAAAGTCTCCTGTTACAGTGTTCTCCCCAGGATTTTTCGATAGCACCAGGGTAACGCGTGTCAAAATGATTTGTACAATATACAATATGTCGTGTCGCGTTGCATCGCTTTTTTTTTCTTGTTAGTTTTTGTGTCATTACCTTTTTGTCTTTTGTTTTGTTTACTGTGTTATGTAGACTTTGGGTCAATAAATTACTGGTAAAAAAAGAAGTAAATCAATAAACAGTTTGTATACACTAATTTCTTTTTAAGAATAATTGAAAGAAAGCACTATAAGTCTTTAAACTAAAGTCACTTTTTATATATTTTGATCAAGTCAATTTTGTCCTGATACTTGAAGTTACACTACACATTCCCCATTTTTGTTAGATTACACCATAACAATTAAATTTAAACAAGATTAAATTTGAATGCAGAACCTTTAGTAAATTAAAAACTATTTTCCATAGCTTTAGACATGATTCTTTTAAACAACAATAAAATTAGTATTAGAATCTTTATTGTGTTACTCCGTAGACAGACATGAAGATTATATTTATATTATCTATATGTGCACCCATTTATCATATCTAGCTGAGTTCCAATCAGTGTCTAAAGACCGGGACTTCTTTCATCACATATCAGGTAAAGCAACAAATGGAAGTTTTTAACGACCTTGACTGGATATACATCCCTCGCACGGTCGGCTCGGTGCTCGAAGGCGTTTGGTGAGCGTTTAAATAATTTTGTGCCATCGGTCAGGAACAGGTTGAGGACGCCATTTTGGTAGGCCGCCATCTTGGTTTTGTGAGTTGTTTTGGTTTTTCTTTTGTTGACTATTTTGATGTTATGTCTTCACAACGGCTGCTTTCAGTTAAAGTTCAGAAAATACTACCTATTATTATATGGTATGTTCAAAGAAAGTTTTTATCCTTAAGGTAACATTCTTATATAATTTTGCATTCAATTTGTAGTTTATTTCTATTTTCAATGATAGATAATATTTTAGGAGCACACATTTGTAATAAGCAAAATCAGGGGAAGTAACTCAACACGTTTAAAATACGCAAATTATTTATGACCAAAGGCTGGAGTAATAGAGTTAAGGGCCTGGGGAGAACACTGTGTTACTATATTGAGCAGACGGTAATATGAATATTTCTTTTTGTATGACAGTTCATTTTGGGGTCCTCTTCGCGGTCCACGTTTAAACTATGTAGATTTCTTTGAGAAATCAGAAACAACTATATAGATTTAAACAACCAGACATTAAAGTGTTGAGTGTAAATTGCAGGATAAAAATAATAAATACTTTGTCAGAAACATAAAATTTATTTCTACTCGCTACGAAACAGGTGAAAAACTCGTCGAGCCTCGCATTTCGTCCTGTTTCTAGGGCTCATATACAACTAAATCTTATATTTTCCGACAATGTACATTTATTGTATATATATTTTCCGACAATGTACATATATTGTATATATATTTTCCGACAATGTTTTCGATTCCTAACATCACTGAAGAGACATTAATCGTCGAAATCCGGATATGGTGTACAAATTGTTGCACCTCATGTTTGCGGTATACCATCTTTTCCGCATTTTTATTTTTTTCTGTTTGGTATTAAATTAATAATAAAGATCCATTTTGTTACATCTTGTGATCCGTTTATTTGGCAATCGCCAATGGCAGTCAGCAGGGTTTAAGAACATCTGTTGTTCGACCTGTTAGTCAAATGCGTTTTGTTTAAATATACTTTTTCACTTTTTTGGTCTTTTGGAAAATGTTGTTTGTGCTGTATTTAGACCCCGCTACCAAGAAATTTGTTTTGCATGCACACGTATAAAAATTGCGGTTTTTATCCAACGCAATCATAGGTTTGAACGTTGTTTTCAATTTAGACTTATTTATATTTTCCGACAATGTACATATATTGTATATATATTTTCCGACAATGCACATATATTGTATATATATTTTCCGACAATGCACATATATTGTATATATAGTTTCCGACAATGCACATATATTGTATATATATTTTCCGACAATGCACATATATTGTATATATATTTTCCAACAATGTACATATATTGTATATGAATATTGTCTTGCGATTACAAATTATTTTACAATGTGTCTTTCGCAAGGCTCTAGTTTTGTAACTTCTGAAATGATGGTCGCCCTTTTTTTTTTTAGGCACTACTGAAGAGAACTTTTACTGCTGGTTTTTCGTGTTTTATGTTATCAAATTCTTCAACAAAATGTAATATTAGTTCTATTCTCGATGGTGAAATTGTATTGTTTTAAAATGTTAAAAATATAAAACAATTGTGTCTGGTTAATACGGTCCGGGTATATTTGCGTCCATTCGTTTTTCATTTTGAAATATCAAAAACAAAAAACAAAAAACGAGAGTGTTTTCATTTTTCGTTTTTGATTTCTAAAACCAAAACGGAAAACGAAAGTGTTTTCATTTTTTGTTTTTGATTTCTCTAAAACCAAAATGAAAATCTAAAGTGTTTCCGTTTTTCATTTTTGATTTCACAAAACAAGAATTTTGTATTTAATTTTAATTATTTCTCGTTTTATAATGTACAATGTTTTCTTTTCTTGTTTCACAGTCATTGATAGTAAATAATGCCAATGTAAACACCCCGGTGTTCTTTCAACATAATGTAGACAAAATAGACCGCCTGACTTATGAATTGAACTACGGTGATAAATGAATCAAAGCCTTTCAAATTACCTTGTTTATATCTTTAATAAAAAATAAATTATTATATTTAAATATTAAACGAATCATAAATTTAAATTGTACAATACAATATTATATAAAGATGGTACAAATAAATAGATTGATTACAACATCACATTAACAAGGGATGTTACTACTTTTAAAAACTTATAAGAAAACTACCCCGGTCGTTAAAGTATACATGCACAGTCACTGTGGTTATCAGATCTTTAATCGAAGATAATGTCGACGGATGCAAAAGACTCTATCAATCTGAACAATAAGGGTGCGTGATCTTTACTTTTAAATTTAGAACGGTTGATCTCAGATGATTAGAATTCATGACCAAGGTCCATTATACGAACATTCAGGGTCGACGATAATGTGTTTTGCTTGATCAATTGATTGAAAAACAAATTTCCGCAATTTCACAATTCAAACAGGGATTAGCATTCAATCATTTTGCCATTCGGAGCCTACTCGGTACTAGTTTTGCTTATTTTTGAAAGCTATATGGTGACCTTAACTAGAGCCTGGGTGTGGATGGGGGTTTACGGAATAGAGAATAGTGGGCAAAAAATATGAATAATAGAGACAATGGACCTAGAAATAAAAAAAAATTAGAATAATGAGGTGTTAAAATATAAAGAGAACAGAATAATTGGCAAAAAGTATAAAGAAATAAAGAATAGAGAAAAATGGCCTGAAACACTGATTAAAGAATAGAGAAAATCGGCATAGAATATCAAAGAATACAGAAATGAAGAACCCCGTATCCAGACCATCATCCTAGTTGCCTAAACCAACGTTATTTTGTGTCCGGTAGATTGTTATTGCTTATCATACGTTTTCTTTTTATTTCTATGCCTATCAATTAAGACGTGAGCTTTCATAATTTGCCAGCTTATTACATTATAAAAAAAGACTAAGCCGAACATCACTCTGGTTTTTTCTCAAGTGGACCTCAGCTACCTACCCTATCACACCATTACCGCAAAGCTAATAAAAAAATCTACGGCAATACTAGGTGCAAAGGGAAGTTGGGTAGCTGAGGTCTACTGGAGAAAAAAATCCAGGGTGTTATTCGTCTTAGTTTTTTTTTAAGTAGGTCTAAAGTTGGGGTCCGCGGACACCCAACCCCACCCTTACCGAAAATTTAATAAACAAAAATTCTAAGGCAATTCTTTTGTCCGCACTAAGACAAAGGGAAGCTCAGTAGCTGAGGTCTACAGTAGAAAAAACACAGGGTATTTTTCGGCTTAGTTTTTTTTTCTAAAGTAGGTCCAAAGTTGAGGTAAGATACCCTACCCAACCCTTACCGAAAAGTTTACAAACAAAAATTCCCAGTTTGGGTATAGCACGGATTATTTTTTAAAGCTAATAAATATTTTCATTGCCCAACCATACTTTGAGTAC